GTTACTGGACCCGAATGCTGCAAAAGGCGTTTCGGGCATAGACAAATTCTTCAGGTGGGTGTGCAATAATTTTTATTTTTATTGGCACGTTTAGACCATTTTTTGTCATAGTTTTTGGAGTTCTACACTCAGTATAAAAAGGTGTCTTTTTTTCTCGAGGTTTTCCTTTGTCCAGAAATATCATATTTGTATGTTGTTACTGCCATAAGTTTCAAGAAAAAAATCATATTATAAACTAAAAACTCTGTTTCAATATCGTTGACATTTCTTATGTCTTGTGAACGACACATTGAAAAAATATATATGCGAGCTAAACCATTCTTCTTATCATAAATCCGTAAACTTTAGACTCCATTAAATTATATGACCCCCAAATATCGTACCTTGCGTCTGTCACTAAGCAACTGATGACGTCATTAACACTGTGACTACTTTTGTATCCCCGTAGTTGTGGAATATAACCTTCTTTGGCCGGTTTTGTACGTTTGAAGAAGAAAATTGTTACTGGGTAAGTTTTAATATTACTATAAATATTAAAATTAAGTGTTTTATTTTTGGTATTTACTATACCTTTTTATAATATAATTCATTTTATCACAAAATTAGTTATATAGGACTCTTGTAATTTCCTAGTTTAACGCCTACTCTCTCTTTTTTTTCTTTTTACAGTTTAGCCTAGTTATTTATGCAGCCATTTACCAGGCTTAGCGTAAGAAGGTAGTTTTGAATTATATACTATTTTTGTATTTCCAGCATATAATACTTTCAAAATGGATAAAGACGAATTGGTACAGAGGGCCAAACTTGGAGAACAGGCCGAGAGGTATGATGATATGGCAGCATCAATGAAACAAGTTACAGAAATGGGTGTGGAATTAAGCAATGAAGAACGAAATTTGCTGTCGGTCGCATACAAGAACGTCGTCGGGGCAAGGCGAAGTTCCTGGAGGGTTATTTCAAGTATAGAACAGAAAACTGAAGGAAGTGAAAGAAAGCAGCAAATGGCTAAAGAATATCGCGAAAAAGTCGAAAAAGAATTAAGAGAAATATGTTACGATGTTTTGGTAATGTTTTAAATCTTATGTCAGTTATCTTGAGTTTTTTTTTTTGTGTTTATTAATATTATTCAAATAATAGTAAATTAAATATGAAAGATAATTGCTGTTACTTTTTATGGATGCCATTGTAGACTATAGTATTATTATTAGATGTAAGAAAGTTTATTTACTAAGAAATAATTGTGACATACACATAAGGTGCTTTGCTTTAAACCAAATAAAGTAAGTAAAGATCAAGTTTGAAATCTTAGAATCCAAGCATATGAAAAATATAGTTATACTATATGTGAAAGTTACTTAAAATTTAAGCAGTAAATTAAACAAATCAAATATTTAAAAACTACTAATGGGTTTGGACATTATTAAGTAGTAAAATTATTGGGGCAAGTGTAAAAATTAAATGTTAAACTTTTGCATGAATTTAGATTAGCGCTTAAGTAAAGGAGATAGTGAGAATGGGAAAAATCATCATGGACCATTTTAGTAAAATGTATCAAATACATACATCGGTCACTAAACTCTGTGAAGCACGATCCATTACTGCGTTTAAAAAAAATGTCAATAAAGAAAAGGAATTATATGTTAAGATAGTGTAAAATACTATCAACTTATATAATGTTAATGAACAGGGCTTTAGACTATTTTTGGCTACTGTCAGATGGTTGCCAGTTGCTTGCAAATGTGCCAGCTACACTGGTAGAAATAAAAAAAAAAAATATATATATATATATATATATATATATATATT